TTCGTGTCACACTTTGAGACTGTAAACAGTTTAACAGGTTCTGTTAGGTTTTCAGGGAGTAAGCTCAACTCTCTTTATTGATTATTTATTATCAATCTATGACCAGGTTCTGTATAACGGGTTCACGGGGAGGAAGCTGACGTCTCAGATCTTCATTGGTCCAACTTATTATCAACGTCTGAAACACATGGTTGACGATAAGATCCACTCGAGGGCCCGTGGCCCCGTCCAGATCCTCAACAGGCAGCCGATGGAGGGACGATCACGGTGAGTGAGATACCCGTCTGAGTCACCTGTCTGTGGTTCGAGGTGATGGAGCGTGACTGTTGGATCACTCATCCTGTCTGTCTCACCTTTCTGTCTGTCAGTGATGGTGGTCTGCGGTTTGGGGAGATGGAGCGTGACTGTCAAATCGCTCACGGAGCGGCTCAGTTCCTTAAGGAACGTCTGTTTGAGGCATCTGATCCGTATCAAGTTCACGTGTGTAATCTGTGTGGACTGATGGCCATAGCCAACACGCGAACGCACACGTACGAGTGTCGAGGCTGCCGCAACAAGACACAGGTAAGCATGATCAATAAGTCATCACAACAAGGACACAAGTACACATGATCAATAAGTCATCACAACAAGACACAACTAGGCATGATCAATAAGTCATCACAACAAGTACACATGATCAATAAGTCATCACAACAAGACACAACTACGCATGATCAATAAGTCATCACAAGTACACATGATCAATAAGTCATCACAACAAGACACAACTATGCATAATCAATAAGTCATCACAACAAGTACACATGATCAATAAGTCATCACAACAAGTACACATGATCAATAAGTCATCACAATAAGACAAGTACGCATGATCAATAAGTCATCACAATAAGACACAAGTACGCATGATCACTAAGTCATCACAATAAGACACACGTAAACATGATCACTAAGTCATCACAATAAGACACAAGTACGCATGATCAATAAGTCATCACAATAAGCATACCTGCAAACTTGTCACTTTTCGGTGAAATTCACCGTTTTCAATCAAAAATATATCATCCACGTGAATCGTGTAGATCCGTAGAGTTTTTTTTGTCTTCGGGGGGGGTGTCAACTGGCCTGTCAGCGTTTCTCAGATTGGGTTAGGGTTACACTAACCCGCATCCCGTCGTCAGGTCCGTCAGGCAACAACTCTTGGGTGGCGGGGGTAAAGGCGAGGCAACGCAATCCGACCGAAAAGGCCCAGACTAGAGGTTTGAACGCCGGCGCCCGAAGATACTCGCGCGCCTCGGAGGGTTAGAACAGGCGCTATGTGCAAAAGTAACCGGCTTTAATCATGTGATGACTCCTGTCGTGAAGATCATAAATGGCATCCGCTCCAAAGCCAAACAACACAGGATATTCAAAACTGATCATTTGTATAAACATGGGACAGAGTTGATTTGTTGATCATGATTTGTTCAAAAATGTTACAAAAGTGGTTATTACCAACGAGACATGATGTGAAGATATGACAGTTAATGATTTCATAGAAAATGTTAGAAGTGATCATTTTTACAAAAATATAGCAGGTGTGATTTTGAACCAAATGCTACAAATGTGCTTATTCATACAAAACTGTAAAGAAAGATATTTACAAAAATATCAGCGATGTGATACCTCTGACTTTCAGATGTTGAAACAGAATAACAGAAATAAATGTTTAAATATATCTGTGTTTCCTACCATAATTGTTGTGGAAATCATTGTTAATAATTATTGTGAGGAATAATTAACATTGACATGTGATCAGACAGTGTCTTCACACATATTATTATTATTATGAAAAGGTGATCTGTGCAACTTTGTTATTCAGGAAGTTTGTATCAAACAAATAGCCCTTCGTACTACTCGGAACCCTTGAAGTAGCTCTCAGTTTCAAAAAGGTTGGTGACCCCTGATCTAGTGACTACAGAGTGCTGGTCTAAAATCCTAACTCGGGGCTAATGTGATGATTAATCATAGTATTGATTAGAGAGAATTTCAGCTGTAAACTGTGATTATAAAACCAGATGGATCCGATTCTGCATTTTATTTAACATGTTTCTTCTTTTCAGTTTTTATGTAATAAAAACTGGAGAAATCCAAAACCTCAATAAATCTGTTTTAATGTTAATGATTTGAAACCAGTCTCACCTGTCTGTCTCTCTCTACTTGTCTGTCTCTCTGTCTACTTGTCTGTCTCTCTCTACCTGTCTGTCTCTCCATCAGATCTCGCTGGTTCGGATGCCGTACGCCTGTAAGCTTCTTTTCCAGGAGTTGATGTCAATGAGCATCGCTCCTCGTATGATGACGTCATAGATCGGCTCAGCCAATGACGTCATAGAGCGGCTCAGCCAATCGCCCGCCTCCCTGCATACTTTAAACGTGGCCGTCAGCTGCAGGAATTTAATTTAGAAGTTTCATGTTTTTACACTTTCATGTCGTCATATTTTGTTTTTGTAAAAGTAGAATAAATCTGAGTTTATTATGATTCTGTTTCCAGAGTCGTCTTTGGTTTGCAAACATCATGTGACACATGTTCAGCTAAACTAACCTGATCCTGATCAGGTTAGTTTAGCTGATCAGGTTAGCTTAGCTGATCACGATCAGGTTAGCTTAGCTGATCACGATCAGGTTAGCTTAGCTGATCACGATCAGGTTAGCTGAGCTGATCCTGATCAGGTTAGCTGAGCTGATCCTGATCAGGTTAGCTGAGCTGATCCTTAGTTTAGCCGATCACGATCGGGTTAGTTTAGCCGATCACGATCGGGTTAGTTTAGCCGATCACGATCGGGTTAGTTTAGCCGATCACGATCGGGTTAGCTTAGCCGATCCTGATCGGGTTAGCTTAGCTGATCACGATCGGGTTAGCTTAGCCGATCACGATCGGGTTAGCTTAGCTGATCAGGTAAACAATCTTTTTGCAGGTGATTTCAATAACGAACCTCTTCAGTGAACACCGATCAGGTATTTCATGGATCATACTCTGGTTCCCCTTCAGATTTACTCTGTTAGCACTGTTAGCTTTGTTGTCGTTGTTTCTACTGTTAGCACCGTTAGCTGCTAGCTGCTGGGTCAGCGAGTTGTATACAGATAGTATTTAGTCTTTATAACCACAGCCACGTGTTCTTGTACATTAATAATACAACAAAAGATATCTCTGCTTCCTGACTAATGGTTAAACTGCTGAAGTCCAAATATTCATAGATTTAGACTCACGCTTTATTTTAAAGAACCCTTTTTTTTAGATATTTAATATTTCTCAGATTTTTCTGGAAGGAACTCTTTAGTGATAATAAAATGAATAACTGTTTGATAATTACAGGTTAAGTGGAAACTAAGTTCCACAGCAGGTAATCTGAAATTAAATTTGAATTCAATATGTTTGAATAATTAAAGTTCCATTAATAAATTATTAATTGTTAACAAATTCACCTTCTACAGAATTATCTGAAAACGGTGTAAACTTAGATCAGGGGTCGGCAACCTGCGGCTCTTCAGCCCCTCTGTTGCGGCTCCCTGAGTTTACATCAGTGGTCCCCAACTGGCGGACCGGATCCAGAACCAGGGCCTAAATCCGATAGATAATTTGGAATTATACATATTGGGCACTGAGTTTATACTTTAACCAGCGCCTCTTATTCAGCCGTTACGGCACTTGTTTGGCGGTGCAGGAAACACACCGACCAATGCGTTGCATATCACATCACGTGATGCAGCTCAGCCAATCAAATATGAGTATTCTGACAAGTTTCCTGACTCAAGCGAGGTTTACACACACACCGTGACACACGGGGCTGAGACGAGGAAATAGAAAGAAGAGCAGGAACATGGCGCTGATCGAAGAAGTTATCTCACATGACGTTCTCCAAAAAGAGAGACATGTTCAGAGAGAATATAATTTATAAGCAAGAATGAACAGAATCTTGTATGTTAATTATTCCCACAGGCAGTTAAATCCTCTGCCCCTGTCGAGCGCTTTTCCCTGCAGGTGGCTAGTCATGATTTTCAGACCCCCGCCCTCTGTAAACTATCAATGGATAAATCTAAAAAAAGAAAGGTCACGGAGGAAAATAGTTTAACTCTGCGTGGACGTCTTCATTTGCTTTCACTGCAAAGCAATGCTGACTTACTGTATGCTTCCAGAACAAGCACACAGCATGTGCTGAAAAGTGTCACGCTGGAGATGAGCGACAAAGAGCAAATTCTCAGCTGCTGCAGCAAACTGAGCTCTTCATAAGAGTTTGATATTGTTATATCAGGTAAAATTGCAATAAAATGTCAAGGATTGTCTTTATTCTTGTTCTATATTTTCATAAATACAACAAACTATAGTTTTTGTATATATAATATAACTATAGATATAACTTTATAAGCTGTGATATCAAATAGCTTTTGCGGCTCCAGACCAATTTTATTTGGTGGAAAATGGAGCAAAATGGCTCTTTAGATAGAAAAGGTTGCCGACCCCTGTCTTGGGTGAAGTCGTCTGTTTATTCAGAAGTGAAAAAGCAGAAATGTTGATTATTGATCCGTCACAAGAAATAACTCAACATGTTACAGTTGACATTCTATTTTATTCAGTTTCCATCAACAAACAAAAGCTCAGAGAAATAAAAGATAAGACAATTTTAAGAACTGATCTGTTTCATCTTCTCAGATGAAACAGATTTTATTTGCATCAGTATTGTTGCTATGGTGATCTAAATCATACTGTTGCTATGGTCACCTATAGTAACTCAGAAAAAGAAAGTAATTTATAACAATATAAACTCTTAAACTAAGACTATTAATACAGAAAGAAAAGATTTGTAATAATCATTAAAGTTAGCAAAACTAAGCTGAATATAGACTTAAAATAAAGGTGAATTCAGAGCTACATTAAAAGAAAGACATGAAGAAGAAGAATCGTATAACTTCACTGGAACTTTATGAAATCATCTTCAACGGTTTTCTGTGAAAATCATCTTCACTGATCTGTGATCAGCTGATCACAGATCATCTTCCTTCGTCACTGTAAGGAAACGACATCATCAGTCACAGGAGGGGTTAAACATTTTTATATGACCTTGATGAACACATAGTCATGGAGTTTCACAAGGTTCTGTGCTTCACCTTATATCTGCTTCCTTTAGATAATATGATCGGAAAACACTATAAACTTTCATTGTTATGCAGATGATACTCAATTATATCTATTGATCAATTATATCTATTGATCAAACCAGATGAAACCAACCAGCTCGCTAAACTTCAAGCAGTCTTAAGGACATAAAAACTGGGATGACCTGCAACTTCCTGAAGTTAAACTCAGACTAAACTGAAGTTATTTTACAAGAAACCAAGATAAAACCTTTTTTCACCTACAAAAATCGGCACATCCTGTCTAAGCGATGCAGAAAAAGTGAGTTCATGCATTTGTTACCTCAAGACTAGATTACTGTGATTCCTTATCAGGCTGCTCTAATAAATCACTTAAATCTCTCCTGCTGATTCAGAATGCTGCAGCTTGTGTACGAACAAGAACTAAGAAAAGAGATCATGTTACGCCTCTATTAGCTTCTCTGCACTGGCTCCCTGTAATTTAAGGTTTATAGTTAGAGCTGGCTCAGGTTTATAGTTAGGGCTGGTTCAGGTTTATTGTTAGGGCTGGCTCAGGTTTATAGTTGGGGCTGGCTCAGGTTTATAGTTAGGGCTGGTT